AATACTATGCTTTTATAGTATATACTATACACTATACAGTATTATATAGTGTAAATAAAAATGAAATATAAGTCTTTTATGGGAAAATTAATCCATACGAAATAGAGAAAGCCTGACATACCATGTACCTGAGTTTTAGAAAAATATTAATAAAAAGATGTGAGTTTTTGTAATTACTGGGAATTGAAATCAATGTGAAATAGAGAGAGACCAGTATAGAATTATCCCGAATTTCAGCAAAGTATTAATAGAGATAATATTCAGATAATTTCCGAAAATAATATTTATGTGAAATAGAAAGAGACCTACTATCCTTAATTTATTTTAAAGCATTTTTGATTCCGATCTCCTCGTGTACTGACTTATCATTGATGTTTAGCAATATACAGAGCTATAACTTATTTTAAAGATTTTCAGTAACGAAATTTCAAGTAAAGAAATGAGATCAAGAAATTTCAATCATTTTAAATCATATCATATATAAAGTGATATATTTCTTTATATACCTTAAGCACTTGAGAATAAGTTGTATATTTGATTAATTACGATACTCGTAATATATTAAAGGAGATTAAACAAACATAATAAGTGTGTTTTAAAAGTAGACATTCGTGAAAATATATGATATTTCCAAAATTCAACTTGTACGGAAATAACGATCCACTGAGAGTTACCCAGAAATACATAAAATGTACATATAAAGAAATTATAATGCCAGTAGTAGTAAAACTCACAAAAACAAACCTCGAAAAGAGTACCTGTTGTGATATACAGAACAATTTGAATAAAATACGGAAAATTATGGAAAATACCTATAAAATGAGGCTATATGTTATATATAGAAACTAGACTATATAGTTTAAGTATATTAGAAATTTAAACCTGAATACTTTTGCATAAGAAATAAATACACAAAATGGGTTTAAAAGCAGAAACAATTAGAATTCATAAAATAAATCAGAGTCGATTACTAAGCAAATATTAAAAAATTCATCTAATCGTATTTCTACGTGATAAGTTCAGATTTCCTAAATCTCAACAAGTACTTCTAAGAGAAACAATGGAAAATAATGGAAACGGCAATTGTAACGACAGACTCAAAGCTCAGAAATAATAAATCGTATAAGTATGCAATATTTATTAGATACATATAATATATGTGTATTCATAACAATAATATTATTGTTGTCAGAACATCTATGACGTTTGCTTTCACTAATTGGCATTATTAACAATTATAGATTTTAAAAGTTTTTAAAGTTTGCAATTGGTTTTATCAACAAATCCGTTTTAAAGTTTGACATATGTTTTATAAGATATAAAACTCTAATTCAATTCAGTGATATAGGATAAACTTATTTCAAAGGAAATACATCATAATAATATTGGAAATCATAGCCATCCAACAAGTCTAATTGTTATTTATTTTGTTTTGTTTATTAATGTACAAATATGTAACTATAAAGCTTGTTATTAGGAAATCTAAGCTGTGACGACATATAGAGATTTGATAAATATAACTCAGAATAGCAACTGATAAGATTAAATCAACTCAATAGTTGCGACGCATTACGTAAAGTAGTGAGTTTAACTATTAAAGACGTTAAGATGTACTAAAATATTATATTAAGAAAATTTCTTAAAGATCCATGGTAAGTAAGAAACAGCCAAAACAATTAAGATTTAGAGATCGAAAGCCTCAAACGATTTTGAAAATTAGATCCACGGTTGCCACTTATGGTACTTTAGTACCAAAATTGGTACTTTTTTTTCCGTTTGGTACTCTGGTACTCATGTTCAAAAAATGGTACATTTTCGGCGACCCAAAATGTATTGTATTGTTTTATACTTTTTGTACATTTTATATAAATTGTATTTTCTTATAAAAAGACAATAGAAAAATTTTGGACCTTTTTTTACAGAAATTGTACCTTCTTAAACCAATTTTGGTACAGAAAAAAATTTTCAAGTGGCAACCGTGATTAGATCCTCTTTTTAATCTGACACTTAATGACCTAAAATCTATTCTATTTCCAAATATTAATTTTATTCAATTTGTTTCATATTATATATATAATTATATTTATACTGTGCATTTTAATGTTTTTAATATCTCTACCTCTTTATATTTTTACTGGCTGTAGTCTTACTTAAACTAGAACTGAGCATTTAACGCAGATGTTGAAAATCATCGCACCTTGTAATACCATGACTATAAAGTACTTTCTAGCTTAAGAAATTATTTGAACGTGATGTGTATTATGGTTGTTTTTATTACTGTAAATAATTAACTATTAAAAGACATCTCACATTTCTACCAAATTTTATATCATGAGATCGATACCATATCATACGAAACTAAAAAGTGGACATCCACTTTTTTTCTGGAAATTATTCTAGATCCTAAGATTTAGTTCTACACTCTTTTTATTAGATAGATAGATAGATATATAAACAACATAAAACTACGATTGAGAAAAATTATAAAAATATTAAATAGTTTCACCCTCCAAACACAATAAATGTATATCTTTCCACACAAGTGTTGACTAAGAATACAACCGTCAAGGCAATAATAATAATATACAATAAAAATCTAAACATATATTATCTATAATAAAATTAATTATTATTGATGTCCAAATTAGGGATCAGATTATTCCAAAGTTGCTTTTATTATCGTAACATTTGGTTGAGCAAGCAACTCTCACATACATCATGAGAATAACTCAATCTTCATATCCCATTTGAACAATTTTCTAACGAAATATTTTTTTTTAATACAAATGCACATGTAAACCCCATGAGAATTAAAAATTTTTGAGGTATTTATTTTGAGTATATCAGTAAAGCTGCTAGAATATTATGTTATAATATTCTGTTATTAACATTTCTCCGTAACATATGCAATTGCTGTTAAGAAAAGGTAATATCAGTTTTTATTATGAAGAATAATTTAAATAATGTAGATTACTTTTTGCTCCATAGTTTCATAAATTATATTAAATTATGATAAATCGAAATTAGAAAAATAGTTAATTAAATTAATTCTATACAAAAAAGTAGTGATTGAACATAATGAAATTTGTTCGATATGTAAAGAATCATTTAAAAAGTAAAACTTATATCATTTATCTATAAGTGATTGAATAATTCAGCTAAAATTTTTGAAGAGATATATATGAATTTATTGTAAATTTTAAACTCTGTGAAGAATAAAGA